AACTCCTTGAGTTCTGTCATCAGGTGTGCGGGGATCAGAATGTTAACCTACCTGGCCGTTGAAGATTGCCTGGCTTAGTAGGTAATTCCACCCATGTGGGTGCCACTCCCCTTCCCCCAACTCACTGTGTGGAACCTCTGTGTTAGAGGAGACCCCAGAGAAGCCGCAGTCCCTCTTGCACTATTTATCCCACACTCAAGGGTCCCATAGCAGCCTGTGTATACAGAACCAGTCTGGAGGTGAGTGTCACGCCATCTCCAATGAAGCCCAAGTGAGATCCTCCGTGGGTTGAGGCTGGAACTTCAAGGAAAGTTGCCTCTTGGAATTGGCTGTGCTAAAAAACATGCAGTGTACTTGGCATGCTTTTACTTGCTATTATCTTTCTGACTGTCACTGTATCATGGGCTTTCAGGGACCCAGAAAGCACCTGGTGTCCTTGACACCACTGTCACTGCCTTTATTGAAATCTTTTAATTATCCTAGTATGCAGGAAGAGTTCTCAGGAACTCAATCACCAAAGACAACTTTGCCTCCAGATGCATCACTATTAATAAAAGCCATTTTAGATGCAGCAAGAAGTAGCTAAGCAAAATTAATGCTGGAAAGTCCAGGGAATAATGGATTTTTGGAAGAGAGACATAGATGAGTAAATATAGATAGAAGAAGGGTTTCTTGGTATTCATTACAATTCATGGATAAATTGGCAAGATTAAGACCACCTTGGTGTCTTTTGATAAAAGATCAACAAGAGAGCATTAAAAGGCAACTACAGACTGTAGTTAAGGATTGGAAAAATAGCTGGGAAAGATGGTTTCATAGGTCCCTAACATAGGATGATTTTTTATGATCTAAGGGGTTAAGGAATGACTTAGAAGCCCGATGGCCCACTACAAATAAGCAAGGAATGTTATCAAATAGTTAGAAATGTAATATCAGGCACAGTTGATATTGAAAGTACTTAGTAATTTAAGGTCATCCTGACCTGAAATCACAAAACTAAGCAGAGTTCTGAGTGCATAATAAAAACTGGTAGTAGAAATCACAGTATCATAAAGCAGGAATTTGCTGACTGGTACCAGGTTGATAACATAAAGAAATGTATTTTGGCTGTACATGATGGTTGGCAAAATTGTTTCACTTTTACTGAAAATCTTAGGAAGTGACTAATTACAGAACAGTCATGCTGATGATGAACTTTTGCAATCTTTGCTGTATATATTTCAAACCTTGCAGCTGCAAAAATACACTCAGACCTTCATCAAGCTCCTTTGTGTCTGTTTGTCACTTGCCGACTCCTTGTCCACCCTCTCGACGACCCTGTTCCTGTTGAACTGAACTGCCCCGGTCTGGGCTGGTCCGTCGCAGGTGAGAGATTGCATGATGGGGACATCTGTGTCCTGGGGATACCTGCAATCCTGTCCATGTACCCCAGAAAGGCTGTGATGTTGGAGGATGAAGGGCAGCCCCAGCCCATGTAGGCCTGTGGTCATCTATGTTCGGCAAGATGTATCTCTGGTGTGTTCTTGTCTTTCCTCTTATCCCTGAGTGTCGAATTCTCAGCATTGGGGTCTCAATGCTGTTTGCTGAGCCTCCACCTTGCTGAGGACAGCAGTGATGTTAGAGAAGATTTTAACCTTGTCAAAGTATCAAGGTTTAAGGAATGTTGGGAAAGACTCAGGGGAGCAGGGGGTACCTGCTCCATTATACTGGTGCCTAAAATCACACAAGGCTCCAGAATTCTAGTACTCCAGTAGGGAATTTGTTTTGTAACATGATTTCCAGAAGGCTGAGAACAATGTAGGGAGGGTTGAAGTGGTGGGTCTTGGAGGGGAAGCCTCTCAGAAGGAGAGCACTTTTCCTCATAGCATGGTCCCCTGTCCCTCAAAAATGCTTAACTGGCCCAATAAAAAATGATGTAGTTTTTCTTGTAAAGCAGCCTGATTTTCTTGAATACACTGCAGAACACTTAGTGGTGAGATGCTGAGCCTAGAGGGTAACTTGATTTGCAGCACTATCCCTACGACAAGAAATGAGATTGTACATTTTATAGCAGAGAAAGAAAGTGGCTCAGTGGTAGAACTCTATCCTAGTGTGTGTAAGGATGGGGTTCCATCCATGGACAGTAAAATAAAGAAAAAATAAGAAAGAGAAATAAATAATCCCAAATTTTACACTGAAGTTGTGTCTGGGCACCACTGAAATGTGAAGAAAATTTTGACTACGTTCCCATGGAAGGAGTTAGTTGAGAATCAGATGATCATTTATTTCCCTTAAAAGATTGTATAAGCGTAAACAGATAATTTAGCAGGAGCCTTTTATTAACTCACCTTTGTGTTTTGAGTCTGTCTTATACAGAACAATTTTTGGTAGAGGGGTTAAAGTAAGTTTTTTCCCTGTCACTCTTCAAGGGTAAATATGCCTAACTTAAGTAAACTAAGTATTTCTGTTATAGTAGGGGCAAAAATACAAGTTCTGAAAAAATATTTTATTATTTTTATTTTATGTGTATGAGTGTATTGGCCACATGTATGTGAGTGCACCGTGTCATGCAATGCCACGGAGGTCAGAAGAGGGCTTCAGATTCCCCTGGAACTGGAGTTAAGGATGGTTCATAGCCACAATGTGGGTGCTGGGAATTGAACCCAGGTCCTCTGCAAGAGTAGTCAGTGCCCTTAACTGTTGGGCCATCTCTCCAGCCCCCAAAATACAAGTTTTATTTCTTTACTTTGTTGTACTGAGAATGGAACTCATTCTCAAAGTGTCTTGCCCACACTAGGGAAGCAGTCACTGAGCTATACCCCTGAATGCTGGAGCCTTAAGCTTCGTGTCAGAAGCCATCTCTGTCACTGAAGAATTTCATCTTGCCCAATGGACACCCATCCCCTGGGCTGTAGTGCCCTGCTCACTTGCCATATCTCAGATCCCTTGGCCAGGAGAGCTGGGCCTTCAGTGCAGCTGCATCAAGAGGCCCCTTCAGATTCCCCTGGAACTGGAGTTAAGGATGGTTCATAGCCACAATGTGGGTGCTGGGAATTGAACCCAGGTCCTCTGCAAGAGTAGTCAGTGCCCTTAACTGTTGGGCCATCTCTCCAGCCCCCAAAATACAAGTTTTATTTCTTTACTTTGTTGTACTGAGAATGGAACTCATTCTCAAAGTGTCTTGCCCACACTAGGGAAGCAGTCACTGAGCTATACCCCTGAATGCTGGAGCCTTAAGCTTCGTGTCAGAAGCCATCTCTGTCACTGAAGAATTTCATCTTGCCCAATGGACACCCATCCCCTGGGCTGTAGTGCCCTGCTCACTTGCCATATCTCAGATCCCTTGGCCAGGAGAGCTGGGCCTTCAGTGCAGCTGCATCAAGAGGCCCTATGGTTGGGTGAAACTTTGTCACTGGAAGGCTATTCACCTGCCTGCGAGAGGCCCTCTGACAAGGAGGCAGCAAACACACGCCCCTCAGAATTCAGTAAATGGATGAGGCACCTGCCCCAGAGGGAAGTGCCAGGTTGAAGAGACACCAGGACCCGGGACAGTTCGCCTTCCTGTCTTTCTCCACCTCTAGCCACCAAGTGTTGCCCTAGGGGAGGGGCTGAGGCTCAGAGCCCCAGCATTGCAGAACAGTGACTGTTGCTACCCTAATGATGTGAGGGTAGGACACTGGCTGGCCTTCTCAGTCTTGGGCCTTCCAGTAGCTCCCTCCCTGGGATCAGGGAATCTCCTTGAGTCTGTCCTTAGACAAGCCCACTATGAGAAGGCCCTCCAGGGAGACTCATTACCCAGAGACCCCTGAGGCCCTGCCAGCCAGCAAGGAGAACAGGCCAGGTTCTGGGGGATTCCCTTATTCCCATCCTGGGCCTTTGGAGGAAGCACAGCTGACACACACATCCCCACAGACAGCCTGGCTTCCAGGCAAAGCAACTATCTCAGAATTCAGTGCCAGAAAGGGTGTGTTTTCTCAGAGGAATAGGGGGAAAGTTCTATACTGCTAGCCTGCAGTAGTCAGATATAAGATGGAGTCCGGATGGGTTCAAGAGTCCCCAGTGCAACCCCAACCTACAGCCCTGCCTAGGGACTCTGGGGGGTGGGGAGTTGCTTGGGACTTTTTCTTGCCAACTGCAGCCAACTGCTAGCTGTTCACATACCTTACCTGCTGGGCTTCTGGGTTTTTCTGTCATGTTGCCTGGTACTGGCTGGGTCAGGGTCACCCCACAGCTGGCAGAGACAATGGGGACCATAAATAAAGTATCCACTGGGCCCACAGGTGTGATTCCATCTCTTTTGCCTCTTGGGACAATTGTGTGATAATCTAGGTAGGCTCCCTTGGGTGTTCATATCATGTGTTTACTCCCTCCAACTCTGGAGGGGCAGCACCACGGGTCTTATGAGGTTATGAGAGGTCAGAGTGGCAGTTGCAGAGGGGGTTCCCAGGTTGGGTGTAGGGGTGTCCTCAGTCTTGGAGCTGCAACTAGGCAGGAAGCCAGGAGGCCCCATGTGTTTTCCCAGGTGGGACTTTGGGGCTGGGCAGCCATTTTTGGCAAAGGGCAGCCTTGCCCCTCGGAGTGTCTGAGGCATAGACCCATGGTAGGAGCAGGACTCTCAGGATAGGGAAAGGGACTGTGCTATGGTGGCACACAGCCAAGCACCTGGGATCCCTCCTTCCATCTCAGCCAGGGTACCATGGGACTCAGCAGAGCTCTATGGACCTCTCTGTGCTCATCTGCAGGCCTGGCTAGACCCAGGCTACTAGGACCTTTGAAGGCACAGCTATACCGCCTCTGTTCCTAGTGGCCTGTGCATTGCAAGTGGCTCAAGTAGTACCAGTAGTCTTTTGGGGGCTGCCTGGCTGCTGTTGGCACTTAACTGCCCCCTGCCCTAGTCAGCAGGGCCTGATGAGACCCTCCAGGATGTGTGTGTGGCGGTGGCGGGGGGGACTGCCAGCTCTCTTTTGGAAAGGGAGCACCATGTAGGTGTCTAAGAAACACATGCCATTTGGTTCAGTCACTCTTAGAAATAAAATCATTTATCATCAAAGCCACATAGTTTAATACAGGTGTGTAGTAGGGTGGTACATTTGGGAGGGTGGGAGGTGTCTCTGTGGGGGAAAACCTGGGCTCCCAGTGTAGACAGGGAATAGAAACAAGCTTATTTTTCAGAAAGGGGATATCTTCCCCAGGGGTGACTCAGGAAGAACTAGGACAGTTGTTTAAACCATGTTTGGTCTCCAACATCATCACTGTATCTCTGCCAGGGACACAAACTTGTGGATGTCCTGGGCCAGAAGCCTGGGCTCTTCAAAGGCAGCAAAGTGGCCCCCACGTTCCATGTAGGAATAGGAGATGAGCTTGGGATACTTCACCTTCACCCACTTTTCCGGGGCATGCAGTAGCTCGCAAGGGAAGGCAGCATAGCCCATGGGCACAAAGACCTTCATCCTGGAGAAGACAGGAATAAAGTGAGGTTGGGACTCTGTGCATCCCTATCCCTACAGCAGGGCTCTCAGGACCTCCGGAACGCTGAGTCAGGCCACGTGAGCCATACTGATAAGGGCAGAGCAGGGCTCACACAGCCCTCCCACTGCAACCCCTCCTTCCCACTCACTAAGGACCTCCTCTGTCAGGCAGGGTGTGTGAACCTCTAATGTCCACTTTGTTTGCCTGTCCCTTTGCTGCCACCTGAGGGTCTGCATATGGGCCTTGCAAATTTGAAAGCACCTGCCCCAGCAGGCCAGGATCCCTAGGGGTTGGGCACCCAGGGCATCTGTCATCATTCTTATCTTGTTATCATGCCCTGCCTGGGTTAAAGACCAAGTGGTCACCAGGGGCCCTTTCCCTGCTCAGCCAGGCTCACCCCTCATGCCTATGGACCATGATACCCTGGCCCAGATTCTCCTTGTAGAAGCGCTGGGAGGAGACGATGGTCCCTGTTGTCCAGTAGATCATGATATTGGTCAGCAGATCATCCAGGGTGAACTTCCTGGGAAAACAGGACAGGATGCCCAGGCTCAGTATAGGTTATAGCTGTCAGGAGCAAAGGTGCTGGTCCCTTCAGGCTGAGCACATCAGACAAGGGGTGATGTGCTCAGGGAGAGGCTGATGAATCTCAGTTGCCACCCAAGAATTTGGCCTTCCACAGGGATATAGTCCCAGAGACCACTGATAACTGTCCACCCTGTATGAGGAACCCTATTCTGGTCACAGGCTGTGTACTACAGAGGACTGCCATTGCTCTCATGATAGTCACTGACCCCATTCAATCCCAGCTACTGACCTCTCCAAGGATCCCAACCCTGGGTCTATCTTGATGGGCCATGACCCACCACTGTCCCACCTTTCTTGTCACTCTCTTTGAGGACATCTTAGTCCACCAGGCATCAATGCCCACTGTGTCTGGCTCTCTCATTTCTAGGTTTCTCTGCCCTAGGGGAGTTGTGACCTGCCTGTGTTGGTCCCTAAATCAGCCAATCTGCCTCCTTGGCCCTATGTGATTAGGCACCTCCTCCCCAGGCTGGTCCCAGTACACAATTTTATGTTATCCCCATACCCTGACTACCTGGTGCCCCCTTTCTCCTGTCTCTATTCTCTGGTTCTAACCTCCTCTCCCATTCTTTCTTGACCCTGCACACCGGAACTGTTCTTGTTGCTCAGGCCTATAGGAGTGAATCTCTTCCTGGATTCTGTCTTCCCAATCTGTCTGTCCCTTTGTCCTTTCCTATCCCTCCTCCATAGCCAACAAAACTTACTAGCATCCCTGGATGCTGCTCTTCATATTTTCTCTGATATCTACCCAGGATCCACCACAGCACATGGGACCTCCCCCTCCATGTAATACCTCACCCGAGGTTCCACACTTGTGGGTCCAAGCTCTGAATGGGCACTCCCACTTGGACATCCTGGAGCCTCTGCTTCTCAATGTGACCATGCCAAGAACGAGCTGGGCATCCATGCGGAGCCACTCTGACACAGTGCTCATGCCAGTGCTTCCTCATACCCTTGCACTCTCACAGCCCTGCCCCTCCCATTTGCTCCCCCTGGGGGGTCTAGGTCCCAAGTGAGAGGGCTGGGGTATTCTACAATAAAGGATATTTGCTGCCTTTGATCTGCATATTTTGTCTTATCACCTACTGGGAAGGTGTAGACCTTTCTTGCCTCCACAGAGGGCCTCATTGGCCATGAAGTAGGATGTGCAGCAAGCCAAGCCAGACATAGGCATGGAATGGCAGGCAGGGAGAGGCAGGGCCTGTGGACCTGGTCCTGAAAGTAGGGAAGTAGGGCCTCACCTCTCCAGGCCTCCGTCCTCCAGGTCCCGGTATTCTGGTTTGGTCCAGGTAGAGAACTTTTCTAGGATGTAGGCAGCCAGGCCCACAGGAGAGTCATTCAGAGCACAGCCTGGGCAGGAAAGAGCAAGGGAGGGATTCAGACCTGGCTCCAGAGTACAAGCCTCCAAGACTGAGGTGTGAGACTGTCATAGGGGCAGGAAGCCCTGCCCTGCCACGAACTGTACTTCTGGAGCCCTGCCCTGGGCAGCTATATCTAGTAAGTAGGGAATCAATCCTCCCTATGGTCTCATGGGGACTCACACACTATATGGGCTGTATCTTGATCAGAAATAGGATAATCACTTACAAATAGACGTTGATACACCCATGAGCTAAATACTGTTCCAGTCACCAAAATGACAGACACCAGGGAGTAAGTCAGTGCTTAGCATCCATAAGGTTCTAGGGACCATGTCCAGTATCAAAAAGCATGGCTGGCAGGCCGGGCGTGGTGGTGCACGCCTTTAATCCCAGCACTCAGGAGGCAGAGGCAAGAGGATCTCTGTGAGTTCAAGGCCAGCCTTGTCTACATAGTAAATTCCAGGACAGCTGGGGCTACAGGGAGACCCTGTCTCAAAAAGACTGAAAAAAAAAAAAAAAGCATGACTGGGTAACAGTATAGGTGAGCCTCATAAAGCCATGTTGAGCAAAAGGAGACAGAACGCAAAGAGCCCATGCTGTGTGGTTCCAGTCATGGGGAGGGTGAGAACAGGCAGCGGCACCCTGGAAGACCTGGTGAGAGGAGTGAGGGGACAATTCAGGTCCAGAAGGAGGCCATCAAGCATGTCAGGGAAGTGTGGTCTTACTGGGCACTCAGTATATCCATTTGCAATACAAGGTTAGGAAGCTCTTCTGGAGGGTGCAGCTGGGAGGCAAGCGAGTTAAAGATTGCTCTGTGTTGTTTTCGCATTTCCAATCATCTTTACAACGAACATCTGTTTCATAAATGGAACAAAAGCCTGGCTTTATAAAGTGCTCTCATTTTTAGGACCTGTCCTGGGTGTGGCTATTAAATTGCCATGGGAACTGAAGGATACTCTGAAATGGGCGACATGGTTCCCGGGTGCTGTTTTCGTGGACTCAGGGAACATCCAGGAGCCCTTCAACTGTCCCTGGCTCTTTCATGGGTCCCACCTGCCCTTGTCTTTCAGCTACTTTACAGCTCTGTAAATGATAGACAACTTAGAGCAAAACAAATGATTCTTCATTGAGTAGAAATTTTGTTGTCCAGTTGTCTGGTGGACAGTTAATTATCACTTTTTATTTTATTTTATTTTTTTGTCTCTCTGTCTTGGGGACTTACAGGTTCTAGACAAGTGCTTTACCACTGAGCTATACCACCAACCTTTTGTTTGTTTGATTTTGTTTTTTGAGACAGGGTCTCCCTGTAGCCCCAGCTGGCCTGGAACTTGTTATGTAGACCAGGCTGGCCTTGATCTCACAGAGATTCCCTGCCTCTGCTTTCCGAGCACTGGGATTAAAGGCGTGTGCCACCATGGCTTCAACCCTTTTTACTGTTTTTATTGAGATAGAGTCTCACTATGTTGACCAGGCAGGCCTTTGGCTTTTGAATCCTGTTGCTTCAGACTCCTGAATAGCTAGGATTATAGATCATTATAGATCTGTATCACCAGGCCTGGCCACTCTGTGTGTTTTAATGAGTTTTATATCCGTTAGAAAACAAATGTGTGTTCTGTCTTTGAACTATTCTTGTTTATTTGAACATTTTACCAGTTTCTTTATAAATGAATGTCTTAAATAAAATCTTGGACACATGCTCACTTTATACTTATGAAAATCATGATATTTAGCCTTTTGTTTTATTTTCCTTCCTTCCATATGGCCTTGAACTCACTGTGTATACTTGATTGGCCTAAAATTGTGGCTCCTCTGGCCTCTGCCTCTGCCATGTTGAAGAGTATAGCCATGTGCCAGATACTTAGTGATAGGGTTCTGGGGGCAAGAGTTGTGACTAGCTTGCCTCTTACCCCCAGATCTTAGGCCCCCACTTCCTCTGCCTCACCTCTTTCCCTCTGCTTCCCAGCATAAAACTGCAGCAGAGGGGGTGGGGGTGGGGTGTTTCAAAGCCCTGGAAAAACTTATGGAATCAGGTTAATGGAGTTGTTGGGATTAGCCTAGGGATGATGAGCACCAGGAATCTTGCTTCTGTAGGAAATGCATTAAGGGTAAAAAGTGCTCTGAGCTTGATAGCTCATGCCTGTAATCCTAGCACTTGGATAAGCTGAGGCAGAAGGTCTATGCATTCAAGTTTAGTCATGGCAATATAGTGAAACTCTGTCTTAAAATTAAAAGCAAAAAAGAGCTATGTATAGGTGAGAGGTTGAGCCCTTGTCTAGCACAAATGACTCCCTAGGTTCAACTTTCAGCACAGAGAAAAAAAGTGCCCTGAGGTCCTTGTTAGGGGTTTCCATGCCATAAGCACTGTTCTCAGGGGCAGTGAGGTTCCCACTGGTTCCCCGTGCCCTGGGGTGCTCACCCACGGTGTCTGGCTTGGTGGCCTGGATGTGGAAGTAGCCACTCTCCCTCATGATGGTGAAGAAAATCTTCTCCTTCAAAGGGTACAGCAGCTCAATATCCCTCTCAGTATAGCCCAAAAATCTCCCAAAACGCCGGCCCAAGAGAAGTGTCGGGGTGTAGATATTTCTCGAAATGAAAGCCATGTTCAAGTGAAGGCCTTTCACGTGGCTGTAAGCAGAGAAATGCGCACAGGTGAGCTTGGCTGCTATCAAGGGGAAGTGGGAAGGAGACGGCGGAGGAAGGGACAGGCCCCAGGATTGAAGCGCTCAGGCCAGTCTCTTTTAGAGCCTGTCACACTGGGGATCCATAGAGTTGGAGATATGGGGTTGGCGGGGACAACATCTTTCTAGAGAGTTCTGATCAAGGCTGTTCTAGAGCTTGTCCACCATGGAGGTCTAATACAACCTCCACCTCTGCTCACTTTGCTCTGCCTGTTTCAGACACCTCACATGAGTAGAGCTGCCACCCGAGTTATCCCAAGAATGAGGTCAGTGGGTCAGTGTGTCCCTGTGGCCACCTAATGGTGAGGGAATCTCCTTCTTCTGTCTGGAGCCCACAGGTATTCCTGCCAGGGTGGGGGGCTGGGTAAAGGGAGCCCCAAGTCTCTGGACACTGCTATGGAGGGCCTGGCGTGAACAGTCCTGTGTCCTGTATGGAAGCCGCCCACACACAGATCCCTGCAGAAGCTGTGCCATGCCTGCATGCCTGCTGTGACTCACTTGGGGACCAGCTGGGCCATGTTGGTACAGATCAGGGACCCCCAGTCTCCACCTTGAATGTAGAATTTCTGGAAGCCCAGTCTCGACATCAGTTTGTAGAAGATCCTAGCAGCCGCCACTGTATTGAAGCCTGCATTTGAAGGGGACAGACAGGGTGTTCTGCATGGTCCAAAGAATCATCTGCAATAGCTGGCCTTTCTGTTTAGAATCAGTGAGTCTATTACGTCTATAGCAAGCAAAAGTAAAAGAATAAACAGCAAGTAGCAGAGAGATAGCCAAACATCACCAGACTAGGAGTTTATAGCATTCAGTAGAGATGAATGGAGTAGCCTGCTTGAGAGCAAGCAGTATAGGGGCTCACCAACATCTAGCAGAAATCAATGGGGAAGCTGAGGCAGTCAGCTGGAGTTCCTTCTTGAGAACTTTCTCTGTGTGGATGAGCTTCCAGCCTCTCTTTCCCTCTGTCAGCATTTTTATACCATGAGATAAACAATAGTAACCTCTGTTGGAAATAGTTTGCCTTCTACCTGTTCTCAATGCTTTTAATACTCTAGGATGCTTGCTGTTTTCCCTCTCTTCGTCACAGAGTGAGGAAGCCAGCCTGACCCAGGACTGGGTGTTTTGGAGGATACTTTGAGACAGCATGTTTGAGTTTGAAATAGGTGAGGTGGGAGGAGGGGACAACGCAGTTTCCATAGTCAGCTTCTCAGGGAGCTCAAACAGCATAGAACAATTTACCAGTATAATGTATATTACATGGGGGATTCACAGGTAGGCCTCTTGGGTGCTCAGGTACCTGTGAAATTTCCCAGATCTGCCTCTCCTCAGGCCGAGGAGAAAGCAGAAGGAAAGACCAGAAGGAAAGAGTCTTGGTGCCCTAAGTAAGGCCCCCTATCCACAGGGCAGTGTGCCTGGTGCTGCCTCCTTTGGGACAGAGGAACCACTGTAGGCTCAGTGAGCTACACAGCACAGGACTCAGGGTAAAGCTGGCCCCCAGTGAGCTCTGGAGTAACAGAGTCCAGGCCTAAGTAACACTGGGCAGTGCTGTCATCACCCTCCTCAGCCTCTTGTCCCACTACATCTTTTACTCTGCTATACCTCAGGTTCAAGAAGAAGTGACCCCGAAGCTCCTAACATGCTTCCCAGACCTTCCTTCTTGCCTCCCTAGCAATTCCTTCCTCAACTTAGAAGGAGGGCCTAGGGACATCTTGGCCATATGGGACATGGCCTGAGGGGTGTGGCCCTCTAACACACAGCACCTTTCTTGCTGGATGCCTCTGAGAAGCCATAGCCAGGAATGGAGGGGCAGATGACTTCAAACACGTGCTCATCGCTCAGGCCGTGGGTCTTGGGGTCAGTTAGTAGTGGGATGATCTTGTAAAACTCGAAGAAGGAGCCAGGCCAGCCGTGCACCATCAGCAAGGGCTTTGGGGTGCGACCTGAGGGCAGCTGGGGGGGCTTCACATGGATGAAGTGGATGTCCAGTCCTGGGGACAGAGAACAGTCAGGGTGAGGGATGGAGAGTGCTGCAGTTGCAGAGGCTGAGGTCCTGCGGCCATTCTGTTTCCCTGTGTGCCGTTCCTGGGAGAACAGGTGCTGTGCCCTCGGTGTCTGCAGGGTGCTGACGACAGTAATAACAAGTCTCACTGTTGGTGCTTAGAGTGTGCTCTGGTTATGTGTGTGTCCTTGCTAACCTCTCTATTACATTAGAACATGCTCTCCAGAGGGTGGGGATGGATGGTTTGGGTGTGCACTTCTTGGTTCCCATGGTCCAGAACAGGACCTGACTTTCCACAGGTATTGTTTCTGTGAACACGTATTCAATGAGGAAAAATCAGGGGCCAGAAAAGCCCACAGATCCAGCAACAGAGGATTAATTAAATGGGTTTCAGATAAAGAGTTCACTGCAGTACAATACAGTCAGTCATTTGAAGGTACTGTGGGGTGTGTTCATCTAATGTAGAAAAGAGTTCATTGCCATGTGGCAAAATGACCGTGTCATGGCCACGGTATAGCCAGTTTTGCAAAGTTTTATACATATGTATATTTATGCCAGTACTCTTTCACTACATGAGATTATATTATTTAGAAAAGTTAAAGTACTTTTATTTACTCTTTGACAATTTCATACATGTCTTAAATTATCCACCCCCCCAAATTCCCTTCCCACTTCCCCAAGACCCGACTCAACACAGGCCCCTCCTACCTTCATCTCCTCCTTCCTCCTCTTCTTTTATTTATTTATTTATTTATTTATTTATTTGCTTTTGGTATTTTATCGTAGCTACACAAATTAACTACTACAATTTTACTAAGTAGTTTAAGCTGGCCTTGTACTCATGATCTTCTTGCCTCTACATTCTTTTGTTAAAAAAGTTTTATTGAATTTTAGCAATTTCCATTCAATGTAGTTTGATAGTATTTGGATCCTCTCCCCTCTCCACACCTCCATTTACTGCCCACCACCCAATTTAATATACTCTATTATATGTATAGTATGGTGGCCTATAGAGTCTGATTTGTGTCCACAAATGTCCTTCAGTGTGGGTCCCTCCACTAGAATATGGTTAGCCCACCAAGAGTTGCATCATTGTAAGAAACTGTCTCTCCCCCTCCCAGAAGTCATCAGTTGTCAAAAGCTCCTTAGGTTGGGTTGGGCTTTCTTACCCACTTTCCCATGTCTATGCCTCTTCTGTTTTTAACCCACTGGGTTCAATTAGTGCTGCCTTCATGCGCATGGGCAACCTGCCAGCAGGTACACTCCCAAAGAAAAATGATTCCTCCTCCCCTAGCAGCCATCAACTGCCAATAGCTCCTTAGCTAGGGGTGGAGTCTCATAAGCCCCTCCCTCATCCATGCTGGACTTATTGACTGGCTTGATCTTGTGCAGGTAACTGTAGCTGCTGTGAGTTCATGAGTGCAAAAGCCAGTACAAGGGGTTATATTCTGGTGAACCCATCTGCAGTTGAAAAATGTGGAAGTCTAAAATGCATTTAAATTGTAGTAGTAGAGCATTTGCACAGAATGCATGAGGCCCTGGGTTCAGTGCCCAGCACTCTACACACACACACACACACACAAACACACACACACAAACACACACACAAACACACACACACAAACACACAAACACACACACATACACACACACAAACACACACACACATATACACACACACAAACACACAGACACAAACACACAGACACAAACACACACACAAACACACACAAACACACACAAACACACACACATACACACACACACAAACAAACACACACACAAACACACACACAAACACACAAACACACACACATATACACACACACACAAACACACACGCAATGCATTTATATTTGTTATTTTTATTTTATGTGTATGAGTGTATTGCCTGCATGTAAGTGCATCCATGTCATGCAATACCTGTAGAGGTCAGAAGAGGGCGTCAGATCCCCTGGATCTGCACAGTTGTTAGCTGCCATGTGGGTGCTGGGAATCAAACCTGAGTCCTCTGCAAGAGCAGCTAGTCCCCACACAATGCATTTAATATACCTAACCTACTAAACATGAGCACTTAGCCTCAACAGTCCCCTGCAGAGTAGGTTGCTTCCTCTGTGATTGCAGGGTTATGTGTGAGCTGTGCCTAGACTGTTTGTCACCAGCCCAGGAGAAGGACCAAACTCAAAGTATGGTCTTTACAGAAGGCACACTGGTTTTACAACATCATAAAGGAGAAAAATCAGAACCAAACTATTCTAAGTCAAGGAATTGATATAAGCAGAAATTTGAAGTTCTCAAGGAATAAATTCCAAAAGTATGCAAAGTCCTCCTCCAGGAGCAGTACAGCCAAGTTCTTTGATTTTGTTCTTTGTGATATATATACTTCAAGACTTTTCTATATTAAAGTTATAAATATATATAAATTTTCTACATGTATTGGCACAAACATAATTTTCCAGTTATAAAACTATTTTTTTTAACTTTTTAAAATTACTTATTAAAATTTTTACTTATTCTTTCATTTTGTGGAACTGAGGCCGAATCCCAGGACCTTGCACATTCTAGGCAAATGGTTCACCAATGAGCCACACCCCTCCCCTGTTGCACTGGTCTCTATGGCTGTATAATGCAGTCCTGATCACTACAATGTATTCCTCTGGCATCACCAAAACTTCACACACTGTTAGTATCTCCCCTTTCTTATCTGCGGGCTTCTGGGAGTCTCCCTGTTTCAGACACCTCATGTAGGTAGGCAGAATCATGAAGAATCCCCCTTCTGGGACAGACATTTGTCACCCAGCACAATTCAATATCCTAAAGATTTGTCCACAGTGCAGAATTTGTTTCTTTTTTCTTTTGAAACTGGTGATCACTATAGCCCAGGCTAACCTTGAACTTTTGATCCTCCTGCCTCTGCCCCCAAGTGCTGGGATAACAGACTACCACAATGGCTTAATATTCTCCTTTAAAAGCTGTATAGCATTGGCATGCATATTTAGCGGAGTACAGTTCAGGGTCTCTTGGTTTTCCAGTCCCAGGATCCCGCCCAGGACCCTCCTTACTTGTGTCCTTAGGTTCGTCTCTAGTTTTCAAAAGATACTTAGTGGGAATTAACTGTCTTTTAACAGATAAAATAGCATGCTCATTCTATTTTGGAATCATTTTTTTCCACCTAACATCTATCCAGGATGTCCTACATTGCTAAACTTACTGATCTTTTTTTTAGTGTTTTTGAGACAGGGTCTCTCTGTAGCCCAAGCTGTCCTGGAACTCACTATGGAGACCAGGCTGGCCTTGAACTCACAGAGATCCACCTGCCTCTGCCTCCCAAGTGCTGGGACTACAGGCATGCACCACCACGCCCGGCTATCTTACTGATCTTTTAAAGCTTATATTAATGGGTATTTTTATCTTTTCTGGACCAAACTGCATGATATGAGGTTATTTTTTATTCAAATTCTACTGACACATCATCTGATGTTAAAATTAGAAAAAAATACATATGCGTGCTTATGTCCACATGGGCTTTCCCTAAGAGGCTATGTAAGGATGGCAGAATTTGAGTTTAAGCTGGGGCCACGGTGAGGGGAACACTTTGTTTTCTCTGTATTTCCTGACGTACTTTTAAAATCTTGAATATTTATAAGAGTTTTTAATATTTTTAAATATTTGCTCCTGTAGAGCAAGAGTTGGCAAACTTGGTAAATTAGAAATTTAAAATTGCTATTGTCACTGTTATCATAGGACACTGGTTTTTTAAAAGCCCACAGTTCCTAGTGGACCTTGTGGGCCTGTTTCCCTTTGTGGAAGGAAATGCTCTAATTGGGCCTCCTGTGGGTCAGCTGACTCAGAATGCCAAATTGAGTGCGGGAAGAAAGTGTTGGGCCTGGTGGGAAGTGAGGGAAGTCATGGGTGGAAGGTATTATTGGTAAAAGGCCTGAGCTCCCTGGACAGTTGCTGCAGGTGAAGGGAAAAGGGTCAGGTGAGGAGGCTAGAGAGCTTGCCTGGGCCTGGACCTCTACCTCCCTGTCTCCTCTATGAGCAGGCAGGTAAACGTACCTTTTAGCATCTGAGGCCCTTAGACTCGGGAATAGAGATGGCCCTCCTGCCCAAAAGGTCTGGGGCAGAGGTGGATCTGGAAACCTATTACAGAAGGAACAGAGAAGTGGCAGGAACAGGGGGCTTGAATGGAAGGGACAGTGGGGATCTGGACAGAACACTGATGTGGGGTCCAAGGGTGGACCATAAGCAACTAGGTATATAGAGGTCAGAACACTGACTAGAATTTTGCATTTCTCTAGCTGCAAAATAACTGATCTATCCTTCTGTCTATCTCCACAGACTGATGGTTTGTTGATTCTGGGCATTACTTATGTATCCTGACAAGTAATGATTCAAGATGAACTAAGACTCATAACTGAATCCTAGTCAACTACCACAGGTTCCAAGGGCCCTACTGCATGGTTGACTTGGGATCACCTTGTGCGAGAAGGCTGCTCCTGTGACTCACCTCCCCTGGTCCAGTGTTCTGGAAACATACCTTCAATCTTGGTCTTGAAGTGAGGGTACTTGTTGAGGAGCTCCACCTGCTTCTTCCAGTCAAACTCATTCCTCCAATAGGACACAACTTTCTTCAGGTAGTTGGAGTTGAAGCCATAGTGGAAGCGGCTGCCCTCCAAGGGTGGGGTTATACGGAACCCATCAATCCTCTGGTGTAAGTCCTGCAGTGAAGGAGAGAGAGTGGGTGACCAGGAGCAAGAGAGAACCCAGAGTTAACCCCACAGCCATACACAGGACACCATGGTGTAGTCACACAGGGTGCCCAAGTGTGTCTTCAGATCCCTGTAAGGCCCATAGGTTTTCTCCTATGAACTCTGGGTTTCCTTTCATCTCTCTTTGTTTGGGGGTGATAGGAGGTACAGAGAAAGGAGGGCTTTGTACATGCTATGCATGTGTTCTGTCTCCTAGCTACACCCCAGCACTCATCTCTCATTTTTTAGGTATATGACAATACTCATTTTTAATTCACCAAAGCTTCTATAGAGCAAGAGTTGGCAAGATTTGTAAATAGTCACAGAGCAAAGTGTTTATGCTTTGAAAAATGAAGGAGCTGCCACAGATAATCTGTGCATGAAGAGATGAGGCTGCACTCCAGTCAAACTTACAATTAGGGCTGAAACTTGAATACCACACAACTATTACCTGCCACCAAGTATTATTTTTCTTTTGGATTCTGTCCACGCCATTTAAAAGACGCAAAAGCTATTCTTGGCACAGGGTAGTACAAAACGAGATAGGCTACACTTGGCCTTGAGCAGTATGCCAGGCCTTTCTGTACAGCATCAAGTGATCATAACTCAGTGGGATTAAAATGGACCACCCAGGAGATGGGGTCTGGGTACAGTAGAGCTGGCTGAGAGTTTAGCAGCCTGGCTGAAGGACGTGAATGTTGCCTCATGGAGTGGCTCAGGTGTCATGATTCCCAGAGATGTTCACATCCATTGGCCTTCCCCCCAAACAGGTTTTAGAAACTTTAGACTCCTTCAGAATCTAGACTCCACCCATGAGCGATCCTCAGAGCTCAACTTTCACCCCAGGAGCCAGGCCCCAGTGTGTTCCCCAGGGCAGACTCAGTCACTTACTCTTGGCTTCCTAGTTCTCAATCCCTTCCTCCTTGGAAATTTGGTGACCTTTTGTGGGTGCATCTGATGAAGTTAATCCCTATTGATCTGTGGGTCAGTATCTCTAGATGTATTCCTTTCTTATCTATGGATGTTAAATATGAGCTATATGCGGGAAGGGTCTCTGTCTTCTCCAGTTACTCCACAGAGCAAGTGTACATAGTAAGTGCTCAAGCGTCACAGGGTAAAGGAAAGGACACGTCATGCAAGGTCACCCCGCCTTGTAATCTTGCTCAAGTCTGGATCCCCCAGGAGATTGTCTTCCCTTCCTCACTGGTCCCTTCCTTTCTGACTCCAGCTCCATGTAGAAGAATCAGTGGACTTGAACCTGAGTTCAAATTCTTCCATTTGTTCTCCATCATGTGAGACCCGCCGCTATACCACTCTCAGTTTCAGGGTCTACCTCTGGGATCTGGGACAAAAGGCCCCACCGGGTGGGCCTGATGCAAGGACGTGATGGACCCAGTAGTGGCCAACTCACAGTAGGGAGCCTACCCATAGCGGACCCTGTGGCCTCCATATTATTGCGTTTCCTGGGGTACTGCCTCCTTCTGTCAGTACACTTCCACATGGGCTGAGGGGCATCTGCTCACAGTCTCCCCTTTAAGCTCTGTATTAGCCTCAGGTGGGCAGGGAGGGTTGAGGTTGCTTTCTGTGGCCCGTGGTGTATACAGTGGTCCCATTGGCAGCCCTTCTAGGTCTTGGTTGGGGAAGGGAAAGGAGCGGGAGCAATGGGATTGCTCAGCTGGACGTATCTTTTAAAAGCAATCTGCATCTGCCCAAAGGGAGAAGGATGGACAGACAGAACCTGTCAAGATGGGTCATTTCCAAAGCCCCATCCCGACCCATGTCCCCATTCCAGCCCAAGAGAAACCACAGCAGGGCTGCCCCTCTGGCCTCTACCCTTGCCTAGGAAAAGTATCTCACCTTGATCTCTTCATCTGATGTTTCCACCTTGAAAGGTCGGATGCTCTCATCTTCCCTGGCTGAAGGTTTCGTCCCTGGGCCCCACCACCCATCTTCAAGTGGCAAGGTTTCTTCCTTGTCCCTTGAGACGAACCAGTAGATGACAAGGCCCAGCACTGAGGCGAGAAGAAGTTCCAGCCACATGATTCCTGTGAGATGAAGGGGACCCCATCAGCAAGAGAGACAACCTGGCCAGGACTTGGTGCCTGACTGTCCAAAGACTCCAGTTCCTAATGGGCTCCTTCCCCAGCTCCTTCCCAAATGTCATGGCTAGTCTTGATTGCCAGCTGGGATTTGGAATCACCTGGAAGACAAACCTCTGAGTGCCTGTGAGGATGCTTCCAGAAAAGTCTAATTGAGGTGGGACGACCCATCCAGAATTGGTTGGCACCATTTCATGGGCTGGGGTCCCAGGCTGAATAAAAAGGAGAAAGCAAGAGCAGTAACATGCACCTCTCTCTGCTTCCTGGCTGTACGCACAGTGCGACCAGCTGCCTCTTGCTTCTGCTGCCACGCCTGCCCCAAACAGACTCTACCCCCAAACAAGGAGCCAAAACAAGCGCTCTCGCTCTCTCTCCCTCCCTCCCTCCCTCCCCCCTCCCCCCTCATTGCTTCTTATCAGGTATTCTGTCATAGTAATGAGTAAATAACTAATATACTACCAGCCCCTGGCTTCATTCATGTTTGTCCTGCAAAAGGTGAATATTTCCAGAATGAAAATGGGTTTCTTGTGTCAGCCCACCATAAAACTTAAGAAAAGTCCAAAGGCTGCAAGGAAAGAAATATTCTGCATGGCCAACAGTAGCTGTCACAGAAGGCTCTGCCAGACCCCCAGCCTGCACAGCGGCCGCCACAGCCTCACATAGACATTTCTGCAAGGATGTCTGTCCAGCAGATGTGTTCTGCCTCAGACTGAAGCCATTTGCCATTCTCATTAATCACTGTGGCTAGGAGTTGTTATTTCAAAATAACTGATGTTGGGCTGGAGAGCTGGCTCGGCAGTCAAAAGCACTGACTGCTCTTGCAGAGGACCCGGGTTTGATTCCCAGCACCCACATGGTGGCTAACAACCATCTGTAACTCCAGCTCCAGGGGATCTGATGCCCTCTTCTGAACTCCATGGGCATCACATGTAGGTAGGTGTACTACCTACATGTAGACATTACACTTATACACATAAAATAAAATAAAAAATATAAAATAGGGGCTGGAGAGATAGCTCAGCGGTTAAGAACACTGACTGTTCTTGCAGAAGATCTGGGTTTGAATCCCAGCACCCACATGGCAGCTAACAACTGTCCATAACTCCAGTCCCAGGGGATCCAACAGCCTCTTCTGACCTCCATGGGCCTTGCACGACATGGGTGCACTTACCTACATGCAGGCAATACACGCATACACATAAAATAAAAAAATAATTTTTTAAAAAAAGTTAAAAACATTTTATTATTTTTATTTTATATATATGAATATATTGTCTGCATGTATGTAAGTGTACCCATGTTGTGCAATGCCTGTGGTGGTCAGAAGAGGGTGTTGAATTTCCCTGGAACAGGAGTTACAGACACTTGTTAACTGCCATGTAGGTATTGGGAATTTAATCCGAGCAGTCAGTGCTCTTGACTGCCGAGCCAGCTCTCCAGCCCAACATCAGTTATTTTTAAATAATAACTCCTAGCCACAGTGATTAATGAGAATGGCAAATGGCTTCAGTCTGAGGCAGAACACATCTGCTGGACAGACATCCTTGCAGAAATGTCTATGTGAGGCTGTGGCGGCTGCTGTGCAGGCTGGGGGTCTGGCAGAGTCTCTGTGGCAGCTACTGTTGGCCATGCATAAGATTTCTTTCCTCACAGCTCTTAACCACTGAACCATTTTTCCAGCCCTATTTTCAACATCTTTATTGAAACAGAATGCACTTACCCTACAATGTACTCATTTCAAGTATACAATCTAGCTGGCTGGAGTGTTCTCATGGACACATGTGGCCATCTGCACAGCCCATGTTAGGACACTGTCATCCCAACAAAGAGAAACCTTACACTCTGAACCTGTCATTCCTCCAGTGTCCCAACCCATCTTGGGCCCAAGGCAACCACTTCTCAAATTTCTGTGGCCACACTATTACATTTTAGAAATCCCAGCTATTCTTTAATACCCATGTGTCTGAATCTTTTGTCTCTTTTTCTCAGAAAGGAAGAAAGAAAAACTTTGGTCTCTGCAAACCAACACCAGAAAGATCCCAGCCCAGCATTGTGGCCTGGGTCCTCGGTTTCCATCCTCCTAGAGCAGTGCCCAGTTTGGCATAAGCATGAACCTAACCTTGGAACAATGACAGAAGAGGTTTTATTGGACACACTATAGTGAGGACCAGTGGGGTGACAGAACAGGGAGAGGACAGAGGAAAAAGGCCCTGCAGGAAACCAACACCGTGTGCTCCCCATCCACTAGTATCAGATGTTCAGGATCTTGCCAGTTCTTGTAGAGGCCCCAGGATTGCTCCTGACAAAGGCTGTCCTTTTAAGCTGAAACTTGGGCCACTGGCGCCTTTTCTAGATACCAGCCCACAGAGTGTCAGCATCAGGGCTTCTGTAGAGATGCAGCGGGGTGACCCTACCGACCTCCCTAGTTCCACTGTCAGTCCCAGAGCCGCCTCTGCCTCTTCCTAATGTGACTTCAACTTCCTACCCATCTCTTTCTTGGGGTGTAAAGTTCTAAGTGGCTCGGGATCTCAGTGACAATGTGTGTGGTGGTGTGTGTTCCAACTCCAGTCCTCCAGGCTCCCTCAGTGCCTGTCCTCAGGTCCTTTGGATGTGACGGCTGATCAGTCAGGTGGTAAGACCAGCATTCTTTGAATTAAAATGGGCCAGAGGCAGCTGCAGATGAGTCCCTCTGATTGTAAGGAACTCAGAAAGAACTTTTTTTTTTTTTTTTCCATTTTCAGAGACCCTCTCTGTCCCTGCCAGGAAGTCCTCTTCTTTGAGAAGATGGAACACTGTCACCTGGTGCCTCAGTCACTGAGGGAAGGCCAGGTGTAGGGATGGTGAGACAGGCAGAGCTGCCCTGGTAGGGGGGCCCTTGGGCGTGGTTTATTCAGCATATGATGCAAACTGTAACAGATCCTGTTTCCAGAAGGTGACATGGTGTCTGTCCTGGTCTCTGTCCCTAGCACCAGCACCACACACAGCACAGAGAATCCTTGTCAATTTCTGACCTAAGAGCACAGGCACTGGAAGCAAATGAGAGCAACTTTGCACGATGCTATCAGGGGAGCTGCAAGCAGAGTGAACAAGAAACAAGGACCAGCGTCCCCAATGAACCTGACAATCCACCCTTCCTACCTGACTGACACAGGGGGAGGCCAAGAGAGGCACGTTCCTTCCCTTCTGGATGGAAGGGTCCAACTTTCCCTGTCTGGGCAGAATTATCCCAGTGCTCTGTTGTCCACCAGTGCAGGTCCCTTGATAGCTGCCTGGGCACACAGCAGCACCCGGAGTCCACGGGAGAGGCAAGGCTGGTTAGGTGTGAGGCCCTACCCACCTTGCCTTTTTATACTTGCCCGGTCTTCATGACTCAGCTGATCTGCTGTGTGCACAAGGCAGTTATCACCCTGGACTTCAAACAGCAAAGTGAACCATGGTGACCCCAGAGGCTCAGTGCTGAGGGATTGGTGCTGGAGCCTCATTCAAAAAAACAAAATCCGGGCTGGGCATGGTGGTGCATGCCTTTAATCACAGTACTCGGGAGGCAGAGGCAGGCGGATCTCAATGAAATACAGGCCAGCTTGGTATACATAGCAAGTTCCAGGCCAGTTGGGGCTACAGGGGGGGTAAAAAGACTCCCCACTCCCAAAAAAGAAAAGAAAACCCAGAATCCAGGCAGAAGGGCATTAGGATGACCCATGGCGGCTTTGTCCAATTGTCACCCCTTATGTGAAGTTTGGGTAGTACTAATGAATTTTTGCACTTTTATCCCAGCACCTGGGAGGCAGAGGCAGGTGGATCTCTGAGAGTTCAAGGCCAGCATCGTCTACATAGCGAGTTCCAGGCCAGCTGGGGCTACAGGGAGACCCTGTCTCAAAAAGACAAAAAAAAAAAAAAAGTAATAGTAAAATACTTTTTAACTAAGTGTGTGTACTGTCTACTCAAACATAAAATTTAATAATATAATTTTAAGGTGTGAAAAGTCATGAGGATTCTAGCCTTTCCTATAAATTCATTCCAATAGTGTCAGATGTCTTCACAGCACTAGAGTGGTACACAACACGCTCAAACAGGTGTGACTGGGACAGCAATGTGTGATCTTCTCCTGTTTGTGATATCCATGAGACAAAGATCAATCTAGAAACCTTTGGTCATTAAAATGGCCAGAGGTCCAGTGAGAATGTGAAGCCATGGAAATAAAGCTGGAAGGGGGGGGGGTGAGTGGGGGGGGTGGGGCATTAGGGAAGAGACTGTCAGAGAACTGGTATCTAGGGCTGGGGGTATGGCCACTTCTGTAGACAACAGATGTGCGTCTGTTCTAGAGCCCCTGAATCTTGTACCGTTATACCTGCCCAGCAGCTGGCCATTTCAGACACCTCTCAAACTTTTCCAATGCATGTGACATTGAATTAATGTCCCCTAAACTTTGTCTTCTTTTGGCATTTCCACTCATGGCAACTGCTCCTACCCACCATCCAACTGTCAAGCTCCAACAACAGAGCTACCCTGGCAACACTTCTTTTGTCTTTTGGTCTTTTTGAGACAGGGTCTCCCTGTAGCCCCAGCCTTGAACTCACAGAGATCCACTTGCCTCTGCCTCCTGAGTGCTGGGATTAAAGGTGTGCGCCACCACGCCTGGCTGCAACACTATTTTATGTGTATGAGTGTATTGTCTGCTTGTGTGTAAGTGCACCTGTGTTGTGTGATATACGCAGAGGTCAGAAGAAGGCGTCATATCCCCTGGAACTGGAGCTACAGATGGTTGTTAACCACCATGTGGATGCTGGGAATCGAGCCTGGGTCCTCTGCAAGAGCAGTCAGTATTCTTATCTGCTGAGCCATCTCTCCAGGCCTTGATACTTCTTTTTTTTTTTTTTTTTCTTTTTGAGACAGGGTCTCCCTGTAGCCCCAGCTGACCTGGAACTTGCTATGTGGACCAGGCTGGCCTCGAACTCACGGAGATCTGCCTGCCTTTGCCTCCCAAGTGCTGGGATTAAAGGTGTGCATCACCACGCCCAGCCTGACACTTCTTTTTAAAAAATTTTTACAGTTGTTTATTCTTTTGTTCAGCATTCATATTCACCATATGTCAAAGTGGCATCAAAAATGTCATAGCTGAGATCATTGGCTCTTCCCTGCTTCCCAGGGGTCCGCTCTTCCTTTGAGTTCTTCCAGGACAGGCAATAGGGGTGTAAGCACTTGGCTCCTGGAGCACTGAATACTCAGGCACTTCTTCATTTCACTTATATTCCGCAAGTACGACTTTCTTTCCAAATAATTCAAGTTGATCTCTGACACCATACTTAGCCTGGATACCTGCAGTTTCTCCCCAGAACTGATGTGAGGCTTCTGCCAGGACCCTCCCCAGCCTCTGCCTCCCAACATGCCTCTCCTGCAAATCTGACCTTGTCACACACACACACACACACACACACACACACACACACACAAAAGTCTGAGGAACTTCCGATGGCCCAGAGATGAAGCAACACTAAGGGGACCTTCGTGGCCTGTGTGATCTGATGGCCACCTCTCCCCTCTCTCCTGGGCTTTAGTCGCATACCCTAGCCATCTTCACTTAGTTCTTGTGCTTGGCAATCCCTCCCATCCCAGGGCTCTGAGAAGGCTGTTTCCTCCCACCTCCTTCACTCCTTGTCCTCTGGAATCCAGATGGAGCCTTCTTTCCCTAAGCAGTGTCTCCTGATCTGTTCCAACCTGGTACACATTCCCTTTCCAGCCTGTTACTGTGACCCCCGCCTCTTCCACAGGATAAAAGCTTCTTTGGTTCTCTCCTGGAATCCCAGAGCCTGGCATTCATTAGATGACCAGCAAATATTTACTGAATGATTGCTGAATAACTTTGGTTGTCAACTTAGAAGGAGCCTCAATTGGTGAACTGTCTCCATTGGACTGGTCTGTGGCCCTGTCTGTGGGGTATTTTCTTGATTACTGAGTGATGTGGGAGGGCTTAGCCCACCCTGGGCAGGTTGTTTTGTATTGTATAAGAAGGCAGGTTGAGCACTGGCCAGGGGGGCAAGCCAGTAAGCAGCGTTCCTCCACGGCCTGAGTTTCACCTCCTGCCTCTAGATTCCTGCCCTGAGTTCCTATCTTGGGTTCCTTCAGTGATAAACTGCAACCCAGGAGATGTAAGTCAATTAAACCCTTTCTTCCCCAAGTTGGTATTGGTCTGAATGTTTTGTCGCAGCAATTGAGAAGGAACTAGAACAATAACAATGTAGAAAATTAATACAAGTTTTGAATTAAAAAGATGGCTGAATTCTCCTTAAGGAATAGCATACAGCTTACTTCATGGTTTCATTTGTAGAGTTGTGCTGCAAAGTGTAGCAAAGGGTTGAGGATTATTGCTAGTGTGGAGGATGGCTGGAGAGTGAGGTCAATGCCAGAGGGTCAGCCAACTGCCCTTGGAGGGAAGCCTGCTCTCCAACCCAGTGCTCAGAATCTCAGCCAGAAACGTCCCTGAGATCACCCTTAGTACCAACTAAGAATGATTCAGCAAATCTGGCCTTTCCTAGGTGAATTACAGGCCTGGATGCACAGGGGTTTTTCCAGAACAAAGGCCAGTCAACAAGATACACAGAACCCTGGCAGTGCTGGCACCTACCCTGGCTTTGACTGCACACATGAGGAGTGAGTCCTCAGAGGCGCTGTGTGATATTGCCTGCTGGTGACTTGGGCTCCCTGCAGCTTCTCCTGGGGGCATCCACACTGTGGCCTGGAAGTTGGGACAGAGGGAATTCGAGGAAACCATGTACCTGTTGCCTTGAGATGCCAGGCTGGAGGGAGGATGAGTGTGGCCTCTTCCTGGCTCTAGGCCTGAGGAGCCCTGCAATCCTATCTCCCTTCCCTGGGAGAGAGAAGAATTTGGCCTCTCCTGCATTCCAGTTAGCCTGCCAAAGCAGGGGGGATGGGGGCAAATGTCCTTACTATAAACTCTTGGCTCCCAGGCCTCCTGATAGCACTGCCTACCCACTGTGACAGAGGACACACAGGCTGCTGTGGTGAGTGCTTGGGTCTAAGGTCTTATTTCTCTCAGAGAAGGACCTGGAACTGAGCCCAAGAAAACAGCTCAGAGCTAGCAAGCAGGAGAAAGGAAGAACGTGCTTGGATGGCAACAAAGAGGACAGAAAGCATACAACAGTGCAGGAGAGACTTGACAGGGAGCTAAGGGAAGGTACTATGGCCGCATGTCAGAAGAGATGGCCACGAAGTACGTGACTTGGAACTGTGCTGTGCTGAAGATGGCCAGGGGCCAGGGCCAGCTTGGTTAGAGGCCATACCCTCAGTATCTGAGCTGACTGTTGCCCCTGTACCCTTAGGACAATGTACCCTCTAGGCTTCCGTCTCACCACTACCACCATGAAGGGAGGCTGGAGAACACATGGGTAAGCTGGCTGGCCCGGAATGTCTTTGGAAAAGGGATGAATACTTCTAATGTAGAAAGGCCATACAAACTTATTTATACAACCCTTTGTCTACCTCTGAGAAAGCCAACTTAGTGGAGACCAGCAAGATCATATTTATTTGGGGTTAATTAGGATTTGAATCCAGGAAAACACAGATTCAAATAGGCTTTAAAATGGTGCTGTATTTATAGCTTTAAACCTAAGGGGATTGAAAATCAGATTGTTATAAAACTTTTAATTATTTTAATTTATTTTATGTGTATGAATGTTTTGCCTGCATGTATGTTAGTGTACCATGTGCATGTCTGGCGCCTGCAGAGGCCAGAGGAAGGTGTTAGATACCCTGGCACTGGAAATTTTGAACAGTTGTTAGCCAGCATGTGAGGTGCTGGGAACTGAACCCAGGTCCTCTATAACAAAGTAACTCTTAACTGCTGAGCCATCTCTCTAGCCCTTAATTAGCAATTATTATTATTATTTAGCCCCAAAGATTCCACTGCAGAGGGGTCTGAGATCTGATTAACAATGGCCTCTTTTTAAAAAAATTATTTTTTTTTATTTTATGTGTATGATTCTGCATGTAGGTAGGTGCACCTGTCGTGCAATGCCCATGGAGGTCAGAGGAGGGCATTGGATCCTCTGGAACTGGAGTTATGGACTGTTGCTAGCCACCATGTGGGTGCTGGGAATTGAACCCAGGTCCTCTGTAAGAGAAGCCAGTGCTCTTAACTGCTGAGCCATCTCTCCAGCCCCCAATTCTTGATTCCATTTTAAGGGCTCTCAAACCAACACACTCCATTTTAACTTTTATTACTTTCAGTTCTGAGGACAGATCCCAGGCTTCAGTTAGACTAGCCACATGCCCTGCCACTAAGCTGCCTAGCTCTGTTTTAACTTATTTTT